AAAAAAATAATTTATAAGTTTAGGGAAATTGGTATATAAATATACAATGATTTTGCAGAAATGAATTTAACCTAGTATGTAGGTTTATAAAATTAGTTATTGGTTATAGCTAATACGATAGGACTTATATGAATTTACCAAAATTACGTTGTTTGAACATGATATAATGATTTTTTTTTTTAAATTTATTTATATTACGGAAAATGGAAGTAACATAGTATGCAATTGAGACTTATTATTTTAACGTATATACATAATAAATATTATGATAAATACATTTTTAATTACCTCATTTGATAATGAACCATATACAGAGTTAAGTTTTTTAGTGATATTACTATTAGAGAGAAAATGTTTTGCACATCCAGCCAATATTTCTGGATCACCTTCTAACAATGTTACTGTTGTCAATGTTCCTTCCGTTTCCAATATTTGTGCCATTTTAAGAGCAACGGTTCCACCCCAAGATTCACCAATTAAAGATACATATTTTTGATTTGTAATTTTTTTTAGTTCCTGTGTTTGAATTAAATATAAATCAATTTMGTTATATTTAGACATGTAGTCAATGCGTTTATACTCCTTACATTTACTAAGATCACCGATATTTCATCAATCGAGCCGATATTTCCTGGTAATTTAGCTTCAAAAACTGGGTAGCTCAATTGTTCATAAAACGTTTTTATGAGTTTTGGTCTAAATCCCGGAATCAAAAACACAGGTATAACAGATTTCAGTTGTGATAATTTTGGACTTCTCGTTGAAACTTCAACAAATTCCGTTTCTTGAGTTGGTATATTATCGTTAAGACAATGTAACTCATCACTTGATTCAGGTAAAATATTTGTGATAATATTATTAATTTGTTGATAGCCTAGTAAATATATATATATATATATATAAAACTTATCAAATAATAGTAATTAATAAATTAAAAATGACATATGCATAATTTAATACTTAGATATGAATTAACTTATTCACTTTAGGTACATAAATTGAATTTTCAACACCAATATCTTATTATWTTTTTTTTGCGAAAATCGGTTAGAAAAAAAAAATTACAACCAAATTAAATACATATCCATGTTAAAATAAAATGAGGCTTATTTAATATTACTACTTATAAAAATATCAAGAAATTTAATAATATACGTTTATGTATATAGTATAAATTCATTTTAAGATTCAAATATATTTATTTCGTAAAAAATTGGTTTCTACCGCCTAGTCTGGATTAATAAAAGTGGTCAGGAAGGGAGGCCGATTATAGGGTCAATTGATTTTAAAAGAATTTTAAGTTATTTAATACATATATTCAAAAGGAATTWAAATAATATAATCAAAATATTAAAATTACTTGTGAGTAATGCCGAATTCATAATGAATTGAATATGATAAAAATATTACGAGGTTGATAAATTAGTGAAAATGGGAGTTTCAAACAATATGTTTTTGCAATACTTTTTATACGTAATACATTAAGTCAATGTACTGCATAATTAATATTTTTAAAATATTTAAATATTAATCAATATTAATTGTCACCTGTTTTTGACCTACTAGAATGAGATGACAATATTTTTTATTTGTTCAAAACACTTAAAATATAATTGATTATTTCAATGATTTTTGGTGAATTAGTGTATGTTTGAATAATTTATTATGATATGGTTATTTTGATTACTTCTTTCTTTATAATTTCATTTTCCCTAGAAGACAAAATTGAATACACGTCCATAAAAAAACAGGGCTCGCCAAAATATCTGGTATAACGGTGCCTAATCGACTTTAATCCGGTCTAACCTACCACATTTTTTGTAATTTATAATATTATTATATTACATTCGGATTTAAGGGAGCCAGGTTCAGAGCACACGAATGAAGAAGACTCTATTGCATATGATTTCTGAAGCAAAATATCCAACAAAGGCAATATTTTGGATGTATTTGTCGGTGGAAAAGACGTTCCATCCCAGGTAATATTCAAAGCATTAAACCCAATTGATTTGAGCTCAGCACAAATAGAACTTCCGTTACATAATATACATACAAACAAAGTCGTTAATGTTTTGTTYATATGATTTTCCAAGGCATATCGAAGATTATTAATTTTATTTATATCAATCTATGTCAAAAAATTAAAAACATTCATTAACAATTTAATTATAAATGTATAATGTGTACACACTAATTAAGTACCTGGTTGACTATAAAAATTGCATCTAAAGCTTTACAATTTGTTAAATAAGTTAACCAATTAAGCGATTCCTCTTTTGATTTTAAATGCAAATCTGATTCAATTTGTACAGATACGTTTCGAGATATGAGTCTATCAAATCTGTTTTAAAAAACATCCGTAAAAAGTATCACACATTTGACGGTAATATATAATAATTTATAACAACCATATAAGTATTTACGAACCTTCTACAAACAGTTGAAGACATTAAGCACCTTTCGACTAAGATTACAATGTTTTGAGCACCTCGGTCCACCAACCATTCGGCGAGGTCTACCCAATCTCCTTTATTTCCTGCAATATTAGATTATCRAACATTTTGATGAATTGATTCAATACATTTTATGAATATAACAAGAAGAAACTTATTTACCAACTATTAGGTAAATTTTATCAGGATGACATTCGTACATATAACTTTCATTTTTATCATTTGACTTAAAACTCTCGTCATTATTGATATTATCGTTTAATAATAATACAACTTTTTTAGATATAACTGATGTAACGTTAGATCTAAATTAAATATGAATAAATAAAAATATTAGATAGTCAACTCAGATTTTATGATGGTTATTTACTTCATTGTTTCAAAAATGTTACAACCACTAAACGACGAAGTTAAAACATGACTACGCAAAGGTTTAATGACATCTTTATTTAATCCGTCCATGAATGCTTGGTGTACAATTTGTTTATTTTCAACACTTTCGTTTAACAAAATGTGTGAACTGATAGCAAAAAATGATATGTCTTGCAAGAATATTCGAATACCTTAATATAAAGAWTTTTTTTTTTWAAACTATATTCTTCGTKAAATAAAGATAACAGATGAAATGTTCTATTAGAAAATTACCCATATATTTTTGATTTTTCATGTCTGAATTTGAAAAACTGAAGAGCTTTCCATGTTTAGCAACCGCACGAGTAGCAGCGTAAAATGATTCACCACTAAAAAAGTTCAATATAATATCTACACCCTTGGACTTGGTTATCATTTTTAGTTGAACATCAAACTTGTTGTTTTTGTTTATAATTATCTTTGACCGTGATAGCTGTAATTCAAATTGTAGTTATTATTGATGTCTATAATCACTCTTATCATAAACTATTACCTCTGGGAAGGTACAAGAGAGTTGATCAGCTTGTTGGTTCGAGTCAACAATAACATATGTCTCACATTTCATGTTTAAACATATCGAAATAGCAGCTTGACCTATTGGATGCAACCCCGAGGTCACCAAAACAGATTTATTATTTTGAAGTTTACTCAATATGTTTAACACATAATAGCTCTGAAACATAGAAAATAATAATWATATTCAGTCCGTAAATTTGTCGTGTTAATTAATTAAAAGTGTAATCACCRTGGCGTAAGCCAGAGGAAYWGTGGTTGCATCTTGTAGTGACCATGTCGATGGTACAGGCCAAGACAAAAGYGGGTCATAAATCATTTCAGAAGATATTTCATTGAGTGAAGTTATTCCCATGGTGGTTTTTTCATCGATATACCCTGAGTATTCCAGAGGTCCAAATTTATTCTAATTTATATTAAAGAAATATTATATTTTTAAGAAATCATTTTTGAAATTAAATAATTACTTCTGTATTTTCTTCAACAACTAAATCTTTAAAATTCAGCCCTAGATATTTTACTGCTAATTTATTTTTTCTGAAATAATGTGTCAGAGTATATGAATATATAATTGGACATTTTTATTTGAATTTAACTTACATATCCATAAAGACATTTTTAAVCAYTRGATTTTTGTTGACTTTAACATCACCTTTTAAATCTTGAAGAACAAATCTTTTATAAGAACCCCAACCACCATTTTTATAAATATTTACTGTTAAATCTTTTGATAGTTGATCTGTATAGAATGACTGATGAGAGTCAAAATCTGGTGCGTTGGAATCCAAAATAAATACGAATCTAACAAAAAAGTATAAATATTTTTAAGTGTTTTTTTTTTATGTTAAGTAATTAATTGCACTTAAGTTCTGGCTAGTGTAATATTTACCTTAATTTTTTTGATTTATATTTTTTTAACATTTCTATAACATGAGTGTTGATGCCTTCTAACGGCACAGATCTTGAAATTATATAGATCATGCTTTTTGATGAAACAAATTTGTCTAATGCTCTCCAAATGCTCAAATCGTAATCATCATTTGTTGGTTTTATTGATATTATATTCTTCTCAATAGTCATTACCTAAAAATAAAAATKATTATAACAATAGCACAGTAAGTAAAAAGTAAAATACTAACTTTTTTAAACAATCCTAAATTAACGTCATTGTCAAATTGCTGTTGTGTGATTATTTTCCAATCTTTGATGTCTCGCAGTTTTTTTGTTGAACATACTATTATGTAACTATACTTTATATTGACTAAAGCTCTCATCGTATCTTGTATGTAATTAATATTAGTCACCGTGATAAACTTTCTAGATTCATCGTTTACTTGTTCATTCTCAACGTCATGCCAGCTTAACGTTTCATTCTAATGGTAAGATGTTATCATGATTTTAATAATATATACTTTTTAAATTTTATCCTTTGAAATAAATGCACTTACATTCATTAAAAGTTGATTTTCAAAGATTTGCTTGATTGTTTTTGTACATAATTTAGATATCTGATCGTCAAAATGGTATGGAGTACATAAAACTAGTTTTTCAGAGGTTTTATCGAAATTATCTGTTATTATATCAATAGAGTTGTTGATGAATTCGTTAATATTCTAAAAGTAAAAACAAATGTTGTTATGTATTACMATAATCTATAACAGTTATATTTTATAATCGTTTTATATTTTATGTATAATATTAATGTTGTATATTATATTTTTATTTTTTATTTTAGAGTACTTTCCCATTMTATTTGTCAATTATTGTTTTTAGAAYATAATATTATACTTAAAGATGTATCTGTAAAACTTGCATATTATATGTTGAGTATGAATATATTTGTAGTTAATTGAACCCACGAATAGCTTTAAAATTRTCTAATAATTCAATTTATATATTATATGATAGTTAATATTATAGTATGTGGTTAACAGTTATATATGTATAGTAAAAAATCTTTATTTATGTATACATTTTAAAAGGTAGTTAAATAAAATATTACTTTGCATCGTGAGWAGTTGAATTGAATAAATATCTCTTCTTGTAAATTGACTACTGCTGAATTAATTGTTGACAGTGCTAAATGTCCATTTTTTACACCTGTTATTTTTATTCCATCACATGTTATTTCTTTAGTTGTTGTGTTGTAATTTACACATACATCTTAAAACAAAAGTATATTGTAAAATAATGATAGGAAGTACATTTTAGTTAATAAAATGGCTTTATTATTATGTGTGCCATAGATATTACCTTTTTCGGTATTATTTTTGAAYATCATTGGGTTAATACTAATTTGTCTAATAGAAATTGGAGTTTCTATTGGACATGTACCTAAATTTTCTAATATAGGAAATTTTATTAATCCATCAAGAAAGTAAATCCAATCATTTTTCCATTTAATATTCCCTTGGATATAATCTTTATAAATATTAAATTTGGTAATATTTTTGAAATTGTCTCCTAGGTTGAATCCGTTGTTTTCGAAGACTGCATATATTTCTTCTTCTAGTATACATTCTTGGAATTCATCAGATGATATATCTAAAGCTTTTRTTTTTGCTGTTTCTATGTTTAAATGTAMATTGTTCGAGAAGCTTATTTGACCAGAAAAAATGATCTCATTATTTAAATTGTATTCAAAATTACCAGATCCCCATTGAATCATTATATTACCTTCAGCTGCATCTGTAAGATTAAAGTATCATGTTATTACAATAAACAATGTCGAAATTCAGTATTTTAGCTGGGATCAATATTTACTATTTGGATAAACTTTGATATTATTTTTAAAACATAGATTATCAAACTGAACACACTCTTCAGAAAACGTTTTAGAATTAATTTCAACAAACATTTCCCAAATTTGTATCTAAATAAATCATCATTTAATTATAAGAAAATAAGTTTAAACGAATATAAAAAATACGTATGGTATCAATATACTTACTAGAATATAAGCAAATGGTATAATATGAACACCRTGGATTTGGTACTCGATTAGATGAATACTATCATTAATAAGTATTGATGTTGTTTTTTCCCCAAAGAATCCATGCATCTAATAATTAAGTAAAATATATGAGATTAATATTTAAAAATAAAAACAAAACTAATAATAATATCATAATATAAATAAAACAAAATAATAATATTACCTATTCGGATATGTAAACATTAAAATAGAATGTGTAATATTACTTGTGAATTGGTAGTTACAACAGGTGTCCATTKTTCATTATGGTTCCAAAAAGGTAAACTTTGAATACAAGGAGTACCTCGACTAACAGGAAATGTAACTTCTGGATAAATATTGTTGATTTTCGGATTAACTCCATTAGTATACATTCTAAAATAAACGATATACTAGTAAAATAATACTATATAATATTATACAGAGCGTCATAGCTGCGTATCTAGTAACATGGTGTCCCAGATAACAATATTATATTTAATAAAATATAATTAATTTGACAAAGATATATAATATGTCTTTATAGTATATTATATTATATTTTTATTTACTGTGTAAGCAATTAAAAACAAAAAACTTAAAGAAAACCAAAATTGACTTACTTTCCTATTGCAGTAAGTAGAAATCGAATTGAATCTCCAAACATCCTCTTTGTTAGAGATATATGGGTCACTGTTTCTGGTAATGCTCCTTTTAAAATTGCTTGGAGGAGACCATGCGGAGCAATTTCAATTACGATAGCGTCAATAGGTATGTGTTTTAAAACGTCTTCGAATAACACACTACTCAATAGATTGTTTGTGTGATATTCTGGAGAAGAATATGTTGCGAGGTCAGACTCCCATTCAGATTCTGGCAACGAACTACTTACCCATTTAGAAGACCTTTTTTTTGGTACTTTGATCACCTATAAAAAAAAGTTATACAAACATTGTTGAAATGAAAATAATTTAATCTAATTTTCAACAAACATCTTTTAAATATTTAAGAAGTGTAGGGCCAGTGGATTGTATATATCTACTATGAAATGCTATGCCAGCTACATTGACGGATTTTGCGAAGACGCCTTCGGATTTTAATTGTGATACGAATTCATTGATGCTTTCAACTGGACCGGATATTGTGCAGCTAGTTGCACTATTACGACAAGCAACGTCAATGTCATGAGGAAGTTTATCTTTAATTTGGCCATATCCAAGTCCTAAACGAAAAGTTAAAACAACAATAAAGTTAAAAAACTATAGTGGTTTATTGTAAAAATTACCGATGGCGGCCATCATTCCAGGAATAAAGTCCGTTTCTAGTGAAGCTCGACCTCGGGCGTAAGCAGCCAATATCATTTCTTCAGCCGTAAAACAACCATCTGCGTAGGCACATCCTAATTCCCCGACCGAGTGGCCTATGATCCCATCGGGTGTAATGTCTAATGCTCTCAACACTTCTATAAGTCCAATCTAAATAATTTAATAATAATTTATACTTTTCTTCCAAATACATTCATGATTAGTTCCACCCAAACCTGAACCGCAGCAATTCCAACAAATGAATTGAGAATGTTGTCAAAAAGTTTCGGATCTTGACTGGTTAAAATATTCTTGATATCAATACCTCGTGGTTTTAGTATAATATCGCATTTGTTTATAGCATCAGCAAAAATTGGAAGTTTCATAAGATCTGTGCCCATTCCTTGCCATTGTGATCCCATACCGGAGAATATAAACCATACTTGKCGTTTCTTCATATTAACATTCTATAAATGTTATTTTTGTGTTATATTTTTATTTAAAAATAGTCATATTATTTTATTGAATATTATATAATTAAATCACAATAATAATATTTAATAAATATGATTTACCCAAACTTCATCTATTCGTGATTCGTCTATATTGGGGAAAATAGAAAAACTTCTGAAGAAATGAGCGTTGATATTTCTACTAAACACGTCATTGGTTAAAGCTAAATATTCCAGATCATTTCCGTGATATTTGATCTAATAAAGTATGACAGTGAATATATATAGCTTAAGTATGTAGTTGCATTTAATGATAATGAATAGCTTAAACTGTATAATTTAATTTCAATATCTTTTTACCTTTTTTACAGTTGCTCTAACATTTTCTTCATTTCGTCCAGAAGATAATATAAGTCTTGGTATATAATCATTACTACCTATGTGTTTGAATATCTGTTTTACTTTATTATTTCTTTTTAGAATAATATGACTAAATGAATTTAAAAATCCGAAAGAACTGACTCCGATTACGTCACTTTTGAAAGGAGTTTTTTCAGTAACTACCTGCATGATAAAGTTATGTTCATACGGATTATGGTACAATAATTATTTTAATCAACATTMATTTCTCATAAAATGTTTATTAAAATTGTAAACAACCTAACAGTTATAAAATATTACTTGAATTTTTCCATTTTTTAATGCTGATACACTTTTATTTGGTTCCGAGTAATTTATATTGGGTGGTATATAACCGCTTTCCAATATAATGATGGCTTTCACAATTGAAATAAAGTGACCAGAAACTTCACAATGGCCTATGTTGCTCTTAATAGAACCCACTTTTAAAGGTGTCTTCCTCTTTTCAGTACAAAACACTTCTTCCATAATATTTAGTTCCATAGCATCTTCGCTCTATTAAGTTAACCCAACATATTATTTGTACATATTTTCATCTATTTATTGTTAATATCGGAGTCGTGAAAAATGAACTTCATGATTTAAGTTTCTAAGGCTTATAATTAGTATCTAGAACTTAAAATGTATTAACGAATTATATATATTCATGAGATTTKGCAATACTTATAATCAATTGGTTTAGTATATTATAAAATAATAGTTTTAAATATATTTATTAAACAATAATTCATCAAAATAGAGTAATAAGTTCAATTTTTAATCATGAAGTATCATTAATTCCACTTAGTAGTTTATTCGTAAGTACATTTTTTTTTATCCTGATATTAATAATATATGACGATACATTTTAATTCTTTAGCAATGATAAATTGAAAAAAATTATTAACGTATTTTATATACATTTTAATAATTTAACCATAATATAGTGTGTTGGACAAACACAGGTAAATGTCACCTTTATTCCTGATCCGTAAGCTTCAATGTATTCTACAGAAGCTGGATCTATATTAGCCTGTTTATAAGAATCCAAAAGTAATGACTTAAAGTTATTTCCATTGTGCTCAGTTATATGACCTTCGTGGTCTCCAAACTGTACTGATCTTACACTCAATAACGTTCCATAGGAACGTTTTGCTTCAGATGCTTTTTGAAGATACATGACTATACAAGCTTCTGATCTGTTATAGCCATCAGCTAAAATTAAAATGTGTATTAAAAAAAAATATTTATCAAATTAAATTCAAACAAAATATAAATAAGGGGGGTTGTGCTGTTTGTGTACGCATTGATATGTCATATATTTGTTTTTATTGATAGATAATATATGTGTTTGTATAATTATAGTTAGTATTACATAGTTTGCTTTATTCATTTTTTGCTAAAAAATATATACCATCAGCACTGAATGATTTTGTTTGAAAACTTTGATTCAATCTATTCAATCCTTGGAATTGGAACTGTATTTCTGGTCTAAGAGCCAAATTAGTAACACCAACAATTGCAGATGATATGAAACCATTTTCAATCATTGCTTTGGCTTTTTCTAAAGCATTTGATCCACAAATCCATCCTCCGTCCATTGTGAAACTGGGGCCTATGTTAAAGTTATTTGTATATCAATTACACTATTACTTTTAGTATGATTAACTACTAATATAGGTACCTGTTAAATTAAGAATGTATGAAACGCGATTTGCTTGCATTGTTCTACTCCGTCCTAACATTGAAAAAGCAGCAGTTTTAGATGAGTCCAATGTAAACATTTCTGTTTCACTGATAGCTGAACCCGAAAATACTGCTGTATTTGTCCCATGTAAATCTGCTGGACTCAAACCTGCATCGAAAATCGCTTCAATTGAACGTTCTATGTAGATTCTTGTCATTGCGTCCATTGCTTCGGCTAGTTTAGGATGAGCACTGAAAAATGTTGCATCAAATTTGTCAACATTTTTCAGCTTTCCGGTTCCAGCAATAGCACCAAGTTCATCTATTCAACATATCATAGCACTAATAAAACAATATTGACACAATTCAGAACTCACAACTAGAACTTTTAATAATCAGTTGCTTAAGGTTTAAAAAAGAAAATATAAATCAAATTTTTAATAAATATTTACGTTTTTTTTTATATGTTAAATACGTTTTTAAATATGATCGATAGATATTGTAATTTTTGTTGTATTATTATTAATGCTATTAACCAATGTTTGCTAAAACCTTTTAATTTGTATTGCAAATCGTGACTGAATATTTTTTGCTTACTTAAAAAATAGTGCTAAAAGTCAATTTTGATATTAGAGTGAATTTACCATCTAGTATCAAACATTTAGTTAAGAACATTAACTATGTTGGCATTTCGTCAATATTTTAATTTTTATGAAAAGTATGGGTTTGTGAAATATTATAAAATAAAAATTCTCTTTACTTGCTTAAAAATTAAAATATTGAATTAAATCTGAAACTTAGCATAATATATGCAGGGCTGAAATTAAGTTTTTGTTGTCCATAGATCGACAATATTAGTTGTGTCACTTTTGTTTTGTAACTAATGCRGTTACTATAGAAAAAATTGGAAAATTATTACGTACTTGGTTTCCATCTTCTTGAATCGATTGTTATTCCATTGGTTTTGTTAAATAGTAAGTCTTTTAATTCTTCCATCGTGTCGCATTCAGGAAATACTCCTCCAATACCCGATATTACAACTTCTTCTTTTTGCATAGCCATAGTTTTTTAATTATTCACTTCCTTACAATAAATATTTACAAATAGTTTATTATTAATAGAAAATCATAGACAATTTAKAGCAGTATTAAAATAAATAAATAATAATGAGTCATTATAATATAACAAATTTCATTAAATTTCAAACACTAATAACTATAATATAGTAACTCAATTGACATCGTTGAAAATATCCGTACCAAATTAAAATCTTCTACCAGGACAAAACGACCAGAAAAATGTTTCCTAAAACATTTGTACATACAAAAAATATAATATCTAAATAAAATATACATGGCTAAGTTTGAGAGCAGATACCCATTAGTGACAATAATATTATGAATAATACTTTTAGATTTTTAATCAGAATTTTAGAATTTCCTTGAGTTTCGTTTGATAGTAAATTTTGCCAAATAGTATTAAAATTGCTATGAATCATTATTTTCTGGAGATGAACCACGATTATGTATTGAATGTTTTTATAGCTTCATAGTTTGAAAAATTACCCCGTTGAATCACTTTTGAATCCAAACTAATTCACCTATATATTTAGTAGAGAAGTAATATACTAATATTTAATACTTTAGTATAAAATAGTATATAATTGATACCCTTATAATAAAATGAAATTAGAAAACTTTTAGATATTAATATTTTCTGATTAAATTTATTTTTACATTTTACATATAATTATTGAATAGTCACTGTGAGTAAAATTACGCTGTGTAGGTGATTATATTCTATAGTACTTATTTGAATTCTATATAAATACATTTAAAAATTAATTATAACATTAAGAAAAAATAAAATTAAGTTTTAAATATTTGAGTGAATAGTTGTGATTCTAACGTATATTTTGTAATGCTTTAATTCATAACAACTGGCACTGTGATGYGTACTAGAATTTAGGAAAAAACAATTGAAGCATATTTTTCATTTTTATTGTACTAATTGGAATTTACATAACAAGATAAAAGTTTGAAATTAAATCGAATTCTATACCTATGTTATTATAAATTATTATCATGTTGTTCCAGGATGGAATCATTGAAAATTTGTATTCATAGTATGTATAATATGCATAATATGATATAATAAATGCARCGGAAACATAAGGCCACAATTAAATCATTTCTTCTTTTTAACCCATTCAACGTATTTGCATTTAAGTCATTATATATTTATAATAGTTTCCATTGGGTGCTATTGTAAAATGCAAAGGTTAATTTATTTCATAGTTAATTTTATTTTATTGTAATCTTTTAGTACCTATTAATTGTTTTCTATATTTCAAAATTATTTACTAATGAATTGTAATTTTGTAAACAAAGGCTTCGCTCATATTATATTTGTTAATTAAATAATTATTTCATTGTTTCCTTTCATTTGATGGTATTATATGAAACGCTTAGCTAATATTTTTCCTTATGATTTCAATAAACTGTGTAATTCCATATAACTTGTTTGTTATAATTATATTCTGGTGTTTTCCTTGTGAAATGAATGCGTTTTAATGTAACTATATGCCAGGATAGTAATATAAATAATAATCGTATATATTCATAAAGATTAATCGATTCCATAGATAAAAACCCATCAATAATAATAATAATTTATATTTATAAACACACTTGTCTAAAATGACAAAAGACTCTTGTACTTAAAGTTGGTCTAAAACTAAAATGTTTATTTATTAAAATATATTTTAATAGTCACCGTGACAGGTTCGTTATTTCAACTTTTTGAACAAGTAACATCTAGGCARGCCAAAACGATTTTCAATAAAGCCAATATATTGTACTAAGGTACCTACTGCAGTTATTACAGAAACATTTTGTTGTAAGATGTTTATATTTTAAATCTAATAATCTAATGTTGTAATCCGTTGAGGATATTATAAACCTAAAAATAAGTACAAAGTTAATATACTTAAATTATTTTACCTAATTTAAATTTAAATATTTATAAACACTATTCTACCCATAACAAATCTTAAAATCCTCATTTACGCATAAAATATTTAATATAGACTAAATATTTTTAATATATTAATAATAATTCACATGACCATAGTTATCGATACTCAAGATAAATAATTTTTAAAAAAAGATCATTTTTTCCCAGCACAGATAAATTATAGTCTAGCCAAAATGCAATATTGATACATTTTAGGTAGGTATGCATAAGTATACCTTGCAAGGCGGGAAGAAATGCTAATWGGGGGGAAGCAATGCTAACARCAGTCCCCTCCCTGGTTTTCGATAACACGGTAAAAAAGTATACCCTGCAACACTTCAAATGATGCCCCTGAATCGTGAACTGTATTATTTTATTATTGTTAAATTTTCAATAATTAGTAAATAATTACCATAGAAATCGTATTCACTGAAAATTGAAATAAAAAATATGAAAATGCAATACTTTTGTTATATTATGATATAAAGATCAGTGATATAATACGGATTTGCAATTTAGCATTTTTAGTTATTACTAATATTATTGCGTACTAGTTTGTAGTTATTTAATTACTAATTAGAATGATCTTTATTTGTCTGCAGTCTGCACTTAACTTAATAATATGCCTTTTAAGTTTCACTGTAGGTTCCTTGATGTCTTATGTCTAAATCGTCCAGATGGCATGTAATAAATTAAAATAAAAAAGTTTTATACTTTTATATCACAATCAAAACAATGCTATTACGTACCGGCACAATATTTTTGAAAATATGTTAGTTAAATTAAAAAATAAGACTTAAAATCTAAGCTAAGAATGACTAAAAAACAATTTATGATGTTTGAATGTTTGATTCAATATGTATGATGCTCTATTTTCAAAGTTTAATTATATAAAAAAATATTTGAGATATAGATCATAAACAACAGGTGGTCTTAATGACTTAATACAAATCAGTTGAACTGACTTTATTATTTTTTGTGAGTTTGCGTATACATATTTAATATTTTTGTAAACAGGTTAAAATTAAAAACTTTTAATATGGTTTTTTTTTTTTGATAATAACTGAAAAAAAATTTTAAATAAATTATTATGATCATATTATGTATGAATAAAAAGTTGTAAAAACATGTTATACTATAAAATTAATTAATAATTAATTACGTCCGTAACATAATATATAAACATTAAACACAAATATATCAACATTTAATTCACAACTATTATTTATGTCAATAATTTATATTATATGTTTTAGAATTTAGATAACTTGCGTCCATTTCAGTTTAACTTTTTTGTTACGAAAATACCTAGTTGTCCTAGTGGCTAGTACCTATATGCACAACTTATCGACACAAAATGTAGATACTCATACGTGTAGGCCATATGTGGTATACCGGTGCATACTTTCTAATTAATAAAATTTTTTGAAAATCACACAATCATAATGGTAAAATACTTTCTTAATTATTAAATGCTAAATTAAATGATCATATAAATATATAATAAATACTCATTGTTTACTTATAAAAGAATATTAATTTCGTGAGGAAAAGAGTTTTACTAAGTTGTTCAAAAAGTTTAATACATTACGATATTTTTAAAATTAGATACTTACGTACTACACGTTTTATTTTTAAAATTATTCTAAATTAATCTATATTTATAGAAAAGATATTTCTATTTTAAGAGTAGGTATAATATGTTAAACTATCAACTTATAGGAACGATGGTAGTTTGTTTTTAAAGGACTTGGATTGAATCTTACTGATTTTAAAAGATAACTTAAATCACTTATCATACCTACGTGAAAAAATTTTTTAAATAAAATAAATAAGTAATTTATAAAAAAAATATAAAAAAACAATCATCGAAATTTTAGAATGAGGATTTCCAAAAAAATTCAATCAAAATTACCAACCGATAAATGTCTAAACTTAACCTTCACACTAAGTCTCTCATAAACCACCCTTGCCAAGTTATTTGACTGTACAATATTGTTAATAAAGATTTATTATATAGTTTGTTTTATTTTAAAATAATAAAAATTCACTATCTAGATATGAATAGACTATGTAATTTGAATAGAAATAAGTGTAGTATTATTAAGTGTTTTGTTTAAATAAATATTATTTATATTTTTTAAAATTTAGTTAGGTATGAATTATAACGTTACCTGCTTTTGAATTTGTTTCGAAACCGTTAACTAATGTCTGACACATTCAGAAAATTGTACTGAACGCAGAATTCCCCACAACTCAACTGTATTCATATATTAAACATGAAATAAATTTATTTAAAACTCTCTAACATCAAAAAACGTATAAAGGTCAAAATTTAAATATATATTTAATCATACACTTTCTAAGAAACCTAACCTAACCTACTGCGTGAAAAAGTAATGGGTTAGTGACTAGGTAACTAAAAAAATAAATTACAATATTATAATAACATGATAATTCCCATCACTGTTTATTTATAGTATACATAAAGTGTAAACATTCATTATCATAAAGTATTAYATTCATAAGAATTTATTTTTAATTTGAATCACACTACTATACCTATATACATATTGATGAGTACTAACTACTGAAAAAGTAAACGGTTTTTTTTCGTCAATAAACGATTAATTAACTTATTTATGTATAACAATACTTGAATGGTTTTTAATATTTATAAAGAAGTAAATAACCCCCTTCCTATTATATTATAAAATTACCTAACTAACTTAAAAAATTACTAATTTTAGTCATTACAACGTACATTATTAATATTCAGGCACCTACCAATGTATAAAAATTCATCAGACGAGTATATAAAGAGTGAACAATTTCACAAACAGGTAGGTGATGAATATTTTAGGTAGGTATGTGAATGACATTTTCAATTTTACGAATTATTCTTGAGAACCATGTCCGTCATTGTAAATTATACGTAAATTACATTATTTATATTTAAAGAATTATTCTATATTACAATTTTTTTTGTTCCTCATGTAACTTCTCTTTATGGAAGTTTCAATGAATGTATATTATACTATCTGTCCCACCTGAGATTGCCCGGTTCAAGATTTGTATTTTTAATAAATATTAAAATATATTTGTAGAAAAAGCGGAAAAGTGGATATCGCTCTGCTGTATATTAGGTTACAATTGGGTTACTGTAATGGGTGTAATTAAATTTGAATTCAATAATATTATATCATTGTATACGAAAAACGATTCTGAGCGGAAAGGTTTATCTGTCTAGAATATATTATAGAATATTAAAAATTTTCAAATCTTAGATTTAAAAAGAAAATGTTTTATGAATTTCTAGCTTAAAATAATTTGCGAATTTTTGTGATTTTTACGTATGTTGTCAAAACTCAAACTTTGAATGCTTGTAAAAAAATTGTGAAATTGTGACTATTTACTCTTTAGTTTGTTTCAGGGCTTGAAACCGGTAACCGATTACCATGACTACTTTTTGGACTGGRATCCGCTTCCCGGTTCTCGTGTTTCAATTTAGAGAAGTTATTAATTACCGGTAAGGCGGTAATCGCGTAATTCGATAAAGAGGGTAACGGTAACCGTTTATTTTTAGAACCGGTTAATTAATYAAAACCGTAAATCTCAAAATCAATTAACGTTAAAATAATTTTTAATTTAATTTTTTTTTAAATTATAACTATCAAGTAAATATAAAAATGTAAAAACAGTAAATACTAAAACAAAAATAATCATTGCGTAATAGGTAATATTTAAAATGTAATAGTCATTTATAAATTAATAGAAACTAGAAAGTGTCTCTTATATTTTTCACTTATCATATTTGTGCTTATTGTTCAAAAAAGTAAATAAAAAATAAATCGTAAATAACACAATATTATTGAATAAAGCCAATTGATACACCATTGGTTAGTAACTTTTAATTTCAATTTTATATCTTACTAGAAAATATAAGACAAATATCTGGATTTAAAACCATTTTAATGTTACCATGTAAAAGTAGGTACTAAGTAATTATTAGTTGGCATTTAGATGTATAATTAAATAATATTTAATATTTATTATTTATTATTGAACTGTTATAGGTAACTGTAGAACGTACATTTTCTAGGCTAAAATTTATATGTAGTGACCTAAGATCATCATTATCATCTGATTTGCTCAACGAAATCATGATCATAAGAGCAAATAAGATGGAAATGGAAATTTAATATATATTTTAACTTTTAAATATAATTTTAGTAATTTTATAAGTATACAGTCACTACATTACATAGTATATACTATACAGACTACTTTGTTCTGTTTATTGTTTTGAGTTTATCAAGTATTAGGTTTGAATTTTGATTATGATAAAATGTTTTGTGTTTTAATTTTTTTCATGTTTATCAAACTGTAAAAATTAATTTTATATTTTTATATATCTTAAAGAAAAAAACCTATAAATTATAAGTACTACTCAATGGTACTACTTATGTAATTATGTGATAATTTATTTTGTTTTATGCTTTTTCTTACCTAGTCACAAAAACATTCTTAAATGGTTTCAAAAATGGTTTGTTATGTTAAATAAAATAAAATCGACTATTAACAAAAAAAATTAAATTAAAAACCACTTTCAAAATGGTTACCGGTAATCTTGAAGAATTAAAACTGCTTCCAAACAAATAACCGGTAACCACATTTTTGGAGATCATTTTGGTAACCAGTAATCAAGTACCACCAATTCTAAAAAACCCGAAAACCGGTAACCGGTATTGAAAAATTTTAATATTTCAGCCCATTGACTTCGAATGATCCAACATTTATTTCTAGTGGTGTAACCCGACTTCGACCGTGGAATAATGAAAAATTGTAGTACAACATTCTATAAGTTAATCTATTGGTTTAGTATACTTTAGTCCACGTTCAAATTTGCAGCGGTGCTTTGTGAACTAATTTGACTCAAAATTGACAATTCACCTGTGGTGGATTGAATATTTGAATATAGCTCTTATTTTTTTTTTTTTTTTTTTTACACAATTTTGAAAATAAAAATGGAAAGAGGGTTTTGGCGCCCGCAGGCAAATGATTTTTAAGGATCAAAAATGAATTATATATTTTAATATGTTTCTTGTTTTTATTG